CACCGGTAGAGAATACCCTAAGCATCAATTTCACCTGATTAATAATCCAACCTCTTGAGATTTTTTTTTTTCAGTACTGGGGATTCTTGCGATTATTTTGAATCAATTATCTAAATCATATACTCTGGATGAGCTGATAAAATGGAGCTTTTGGATATGCAAAATTGAAAGACAGATTTTGAATTCTAATAAGCTGAAAGATTTCTCAATATCTCACACTAAAAAGAAAAATATTTATGATTATAAATTTGTATGTATTCACGGAAGAAATCATGGAAAATACAGAAAAACAAAGAAGAAAATAAAAATCATCTGTACCCCACTACCCAGTGGGAATTACTGCAAACATTTTGGTCTATATAATTTCCTATTTTCTCTTTCCATATATTAAAAATATACATATACACACTTACTATGTACATGTTCTTTATAGAACCAAGATCTTTGTCCTTTTTTTCCTATTTTCTACTTAATGGTGTATGGTGAACATTTTCTCATATTCTTATATGTCAAAAACATACATTTTATGACCCTGTAGTATTTCATCACATAGATACAGTGTAAGTTACTAAACCAGTTTCTATTGTTGCAGGGTTAGATTTTTTACCATTATAAATGCTGAAGCAATAAATATCCTTCAAATAAATTTCACATTTGATCATTTCTTTAGAATAAATTTCCAGAAATGGCTAAGGGAAACAAACATTTCTTAAGATTTTTGGCTTCTCGATCTTTGACATAATTTTAAATGTAATTTATTCTGCTTTGAGGGAGACCCTTAAACTCATAGCCAATTCCATGCAAAACAAGACAATAAAAAAAGTCAGCTGTATGTTAACATGGAAACGGAACTGGTTATCCAAGAGATTTTTAAAAGTCACACAGACAGGATAAAGGGGTGTGGCTCGGTGGTAAAGCAGTTGCTTAGCATGTTTAATGCCCTGGTTCAATTCCCAGCACCACAAAAATAAAAAAGCTGTAGGAAGGGCCAGGCATTTAGCTCGGTGGCACAGCACCTGCATAGCTTTGTGACAAAATAATTGCAACAAAGCTTTGCCTTAACCCGGAAACCCTTTCCGTTGTTTCTCAAGATTCTAGGGATCAATACTGTGACTATTTTAAGAGTTAGTCACTGGCACACACCTGTCATCTCAGCACTCTGGGAGACTGGAGCAGAAGAATCACAAATCCAGGTGGTGGGCAGGTACTTAGTGAATTAGGGAGACCCTGTCTCAAACATAAAGTTTTTAAACAAAGGGCTTGGGATGCAACTCAGTGCAAAGGCCCTGGGTTCAATTTCCAGCACTGAAAAAGAAAAAACAATGATTTAAGGATTATAATTTTTTATGTTAGATGAATAAAACACGAGTCTTTTTAATTTAGAAAATTTCCCAGGGAAATGAATTTTTTAAAGCTTTACTATTCTGACTCTGGTCAGAATGTCCTAAAAGGATTGTAATGCATAAGAAACACAATCCAATGAATCAAGTCTTTGAGGACAGCAAGGTAGGCTTAGAATATGAAAATTGAATGAATTCATTCATTCATTTACAACAGCAGGCACTAAGTCACTGAAGTGCCCAGGTTGGGCTTGGTCTTGAGATTCTCCTCAGTCTCCCAGACTGCTAGAATTACAGCTGTGAACCACAACACCAGGTGAAAAACATACTTCTTATAGGACAAATCTGTCACTGAAAAGAGAAAGACACCAGAGAAAATGAGCACAGGTTTGGCAGTCTGAAGTTGAAGCATTCCCACCAAATAGACTCTATGATCTCAAGAACAGGCCAAGGTCCTGCTGGAAACAGGGAAGTGGAGAACAGGAATGTGAGCAAGTTGATGGGAAAGTAGAGGGTATGAATGGGTGATGTAGACTGGAGAATGGCATGGCTTTGCCAGCTGGCAGTAAGTCCTCCTATGAGGACCAAAGTCATGAATTAAGCAGTCACCTGGCTTCATGGTTTTTCTCCAGCAATTTTGATGAGTTGGAAATGGATTATGTGATGACAGAAGCCAGATAATAGACTTTTAAAAGCGGGCTGTAGCGGTACACACCTGTAATCCCAGCACTCTGGGAGTCTCAGTCAGGAGGATGACAAGCGCAATTCCAGCCTTTACAATTTAGCTATTTAGTGAGACTTTGGAATAAAAAGAAAAAGCAAAACAAATGGTGGAGGGGGGATTTAAGAATGTATCTCAGTGAGAGGCCCGAGGTTCAATCCTTTGTACTGCAAAAAAAAAAAAGAAAGAAAAGAAAAAAGATTTCTCGACCTTTTTGCTAAGATCAAGTGAAGAAAAGAAAAAAGAAAAAGACTTTCACAAGGTGTCGGGGTTAATTGGTTGAAAGATACTTAGGTAAAAAAGGGAGGTGGGGATTTAACTCAGTGGTTCTGGTGCTTGCCCCTGAAAGTGCAAGGTCCCAAGTTTGATCCTTGGTACCAACGAAAAATATATATATACTTAGGTAAGAAAGGGTACACACTTCAGTAAGAAAGGGTACAATAAATTAGCTGGAAAGTAAGGCTAGAATTGTTGTACACGTGTTATCTCAGCTATTTGCAAGGCTGAGGCAGGAAGATCACAAATTCAAAGCCAGCCTAAACAATTTAGTGAGATTTGTCTCACACTCTAGTGGCTGAGGCAGGAGGACCCCAAGTCTGAGTCTACCCGGGACAATTTGGCCATTTAGTGAGACCCTTTCTCAAACGTAAATAAAGGGGCTGGAACGTATAGCTTAGTGTGAAGGTCCTAGGTTCAATCCCCAGTACCACAAACAAAAACTTTAAAATTTTTAAATAAAATAACTTTCAAGACTGGTGTAGAGAACACTGTAATCCTAGCTATTCCAGGAGGCTCAGGTAGGAGAAACACAAGTTCCCAGCCAGCCTGAGCAATTGAGTGAGACCATATCAAAAAAAATTGTTTTTTAAAGGGGTGGAGGATACATGTAGCTCAGTGGTAGCGCACTTGCCTAGCATTTATGAGGCCCTGGGTTCAGTTCCAAATTCACCACAACTTTCAGATTCAACAGGTGAATGAAAAAAAATTTGTTTTTAAATTTTGTTTGTGGGGGAGTAGGATGAGTAGGATGAGTCATTGTTCTAAGGCTTAAACTACCTGAAAAATATTTAGTGCAAAAGCCCTATGAAAATGAAACAAATTAAAAACAGTTCAAAGGCAACATCTTCAGGCAGCTCACTAAGAGTCCACTGTTGTACGCGCAGCAAATTTAAGTGAGAGAATGTTATCTTCAAACATCAGTGGTGCCTCCCCTCTGAAGATCCACATCCGGCCACTGCCCTAGCCCTGGACGCCCTAGCTCGGTCTCCACCTCGTTCAGATCAAATCCAGCCCTGGTAATGCTGAAACCTGTCAGTCAGTCCAGCAAAACCTACCTCTTAAAAACTTCATACAGTCAGGCTGGAGACAGTCTTGCCAATTCAAATAGATTCTGGCCCACTGCGTATGGGCTTGCTGAGATAAAGCTCGGGACTTTATTGTTCTGCCCATTATCGTTTGAGACAAAACTAGAAAAATAACTGAAGGAGACTGCAGATCGGAACAACCCACACGAATTTCATTTTCTGGGGTTACCAGTCACGGCAAACCATGGTTCTTTGTCTCTGAGCCCGGTTCTCCTAAAAATAAAAACACCTATGTGCCTAAGGAAGCCGCTGGTGGGAGACAGATGGGGAGAGCGAGAGACAGAAGCAACTTTCACAAGGCGTCGTAAAAATTCTAAAACGACTCGCTAGTTAAAACACAGCATTACTAAGCTTAATATTATTGCTTAAATAGAGGTGAATATTGAGATTTTTTTGAGAAAGGCATATTTTTAAAAACTGCCTCATGAAAAATCTTTCAAAGAGTGTTTCTTCAAATTTATTGTAAACATTTTTAGTCAAGTCATTTGTTTTAAATTTAACCAATTTAACCATGTAAAATCAGGTAAACATTGTTTTATAAAATATAAAGCAATTTGTAAAGCATAATTGGGGGTTTAGAATGCAGAGAAATGATTAAGACACCGTAACTCCGAGGTGAGCTTTCTTCTCTGGTTTAAAAAAAAAAAGCACCTGGAAACACACACATACACACACGTATATTTATGAAATGTATATGTTCATATAGGTGATGCCCATTTTCAGGAAGACATTTTAATTATAGTCTATTTCTGAGACTACCAGGTTTTAATTTCAATCAGCAACACTAGTTTGATTAGAGTTCCCGGCCTAATTATAGGTCACTGGGCTTCCTTGAAATGAGAATCTAGCAAGCACCCGCTGTTATTTGAAGCTGACCACCAAGGCGTTCCTAAATACTGCGTTCGTTTCACTGTTACAGTAGCCAACATTAGCAACGTAACCCAAGGATTGATTTCAACAAATGTACACACGGATTTGCCTGAAGCTCCCAGTAAACTGCTCAGGGGAAATAATTTAGAAATCCCCCCGCCTTGAGGGTAAGAAGCGACAGAAGGAAATTTTGTCACAAATTCAAGGACATTTACAAGTGTTCAGCAGCAGAGGTCTGGCTCTTCCTGGATACTGGGAACAAAAGAAGCGTTCGCGAGTGGAGGGGGCACTGGACTCCCCCAAGTGAACCAGACCGAGGGACTCGAGCGCCTTGGCGCCTGCTCCCGCCTGCCCTCCGAGGCACCCTTCGGGGAAGGCCGGGCCGCAGCTATTCTTCGCACACCCGAGTCCCGGGGACAGAGAGGCCCGGCCCGGCTCCCCGCGGCGGGGCACAAACACAAAACGACTCATGGTGAAGAGCGAAGAAGAGAAGGGAAACACAAACGGGGCCAGCGCCGCGCTCCCGCCCGAGCGGCTTTTAAACTGCGTGTCTACAACCCCCTCGCTCGGCGCCGCGGCTGATGGAACCCGCGCGAGCCGACCGGCCAATCAGCGCGGCGCTTGCTCCCGCCGCCGGCCAATGGCGGCGCGCGTCCTTGGGGCGCGGGCGAAGCTGGGCGCTCTCAGTTGGCCTCTAGTGTGTGGGCTGGGGTTTGTGCGGCTCCCGGGTCGACAGCGCTCGGGCCGTACTTCTGCTCCCGGGGGCTTTTGTGCCGGGCTGCGGCCCCGCTCCGCGTCCGCTCGATCCAGCTCGGCCCGCGGCGCTCGGCCCAGAAGGGAGCCTCCGTGAGCGCCGAGGCGGCGGCGCGGCCCCGGCCAGCAGCCCCGAGCGATCGCGCTGCGGGGCGGCGCGGGCCCCGAGATGCCGGAGTTCCTGGAGGACCCGTCGGTCCTGACCAAAGACAAGTTGAAGAGCGAGCTGGTCGCCAATAATGTGACGCTCCCGGCCGGCGAGCAGCGCAAGGACGTGTACGTACAGCTCTACCTGCAGCACCTCACGGCGCGCAACCGGCCGCCGCTCGCCGCCGGCGCCAACAGCAAGGCCCCGCCGGACTTCTCCAGCGACGAGGAGCGCGAGCCCACGCCGGTGCCCGGCTCCGGGGCCCGCGGCCGCGCCGCCGTCGGCAGGGTAAGGACCCGCGGCCACAAAGGCGCGTGCTCGGCGGAGGCCGCGTCCGTCGTCCCCCCGCCCCCGCCGCCGCGCCGTCCCCGCGCCCGGCCTGGCCGCGAGGGGCCCGCCCGTGTCCTTTTCAAAATCCTCGGCCGGCCGACCCCGAGACGCTATAGGTTCACTTCGAGCGTTTTCCCGCTTTCGTAACTGAGTGACTCGCAGTGGAGTCCCAGAGCGCCCCCTGGAGGGCAGTTGGCGACCTGCTCCTGGCCAACCCGTATTTGAAATAAAAAGATCCCGCCTTTTTAAATTTAAAAAACAATTATTTTGCATAGGGAGGGCTTTTTGAACCGTTGATGTGTTCTTGTTTGATTTTATTCTCTTCCGGCCATAGGCAGTCTTTTGGCGGGGAAGCCGTACCTCTAAATTAAAATGAACATCTAAAATTACATTTTAAAGCGCCCATGGGTACATTGGAAAATTCTAGTTAGAGTTTGGGTTGGTGATTGGTTGTTTTATTTTTCTGCCTTTTTGTTGAGTTCTGCCCAAGGAAGCAAAGATTCGGAATGAAGGAAAGTGTTTATGATACTCTGATGTGTCACTATTACATTTTGAAATGTGATCCTGATTAAATTTCAGATTGGCTCCAACAACTGCTTGATAGCTTACTTTTCTCTGGGAAATTTGAAATGCTACTTTGCAGCTGCCTGCTTACTTGACTTGAATCGTAATGCATGTGCATGTGTTAAACCATATTGATCGGTGTAACAGTGTTTTTGTGAGATGGTGAATGTGGTGCTGGTGCTGCTGCTGCTACTAATTATTAATACAATGTACAGCTCAAAATTCCTTTTTTTTTCTTTTTCTCTTTTTCTTGGGTGGGTGTGTGTGTGTGTGTGTGTGTGTGTGTGTGTGTGCTGGGGACTGAACCCACGGCCTAGTGCATGCGCTCTCTCACTGATCTAATCCCCAACCTATTGCGTCTTTCAGAGTTTTGCGGTACTAGCTTTTAATTTTTTAAAAATGTCTAATTGTTTCCCTGACTATTCAGGTGGAAATGAAAGAGATGTAATAGATATATATAAATTGTGTGTGGTGCTGAGAGTCAAATTTAGGGCCGTGCACATGTTAAGCAGGTGCTCTGCCACTGAGTTACATCCCCAGTCAACACCTGTAAATGGAAATGAAAACTCAGCTTGGGCTCTCGAGAAGTTTCGACAATCTCATAAATGTCTTAAGGTGGTGTCTGGCACATGGTAGTGTCTAATAAATATCTGTTAATATCTGTTCTTTTTGTTGTTGTTGATTGTTTTTGTTTGGTTTTGGTTTTTGGTTTTTTGAGATAGGGTCTTGCACTGTAGTTCAGGCTGGCTTTGAACTCAGTGTCATCCAGGCTGGCCTCCAACTCTCCCCCACCCTCCTGACTCAGCCTCTGAGTGCTGAGACGTATACCCAGCTTTTTTGTTGTTGTTGTTCCACACCTATTTTGTTTTGTTTGGTACCGGGGATCGAACTCAGGACCTTGCATTTGCGAGGCAGGCGCCGGAACCACTGAGCTAAATCCCCGGCCCTACACCTGTTTTTGATGATTACTATTTGTGAGTTTAAAGAAAGCCACAGTAGTTCTTTATAGAACCCTATGTGATCTTCTATGTAAATGTATTACACCATAAATTTTTGATTGTAAAAATTTTAAATTTCAATTCGATTACCCTTCATTTTTGAGTTCCTGATGTGTGTTCTTTCCTACAGAAGATTGGTTTCTGCAGACCTCTCATCATAATTCAATTTCTTGGTTTAAAATTTTAAAATTTGTGTTATTTCCTCATACCTGTTTCCTCTTATCCCACCTTAACTCACTTTTGTGTGAAATAATTTTTTTTTTTTACACAGGCTCTCACTATGCAGTTCAGGCTGGCCTTGAAGTCTCTGTTTGGCCCAGGCTGGCCCTGAACTGTGGTGATCCTCCTGCCTCAGCCTCCCAAGTGCTGGGATTACAGTCATGTGCCACTACACCTTTTTTTTTTTTTGTACCGTTGATCGAACTCGGGTCCTTGCGCTCGCACTCGCGCTCGAGAGCGGGTGCCGGAACCACTGAGCTACACCCCTGGCCTAGGTCACATTTCTTAAACAATAGTTATTAGGAGAAAGCCAAGTTGTGTTTGAGAGTTGCAGATATGGCAGATTTAAAATTTTAATTTTATTTTGTGGTACTGGGGGTCGAACCTAGGGCTTTCCCAGTGAACTACAGCCCCAGCCCTCTTCAGTATTTTTTTAGACAGAGTCTCCCTCTGTCATTCCCACTTGCCATCTTCCTGCCTCAGCCTCTCAGAGTAAAGTATGCACCACCATGCCTGCTGACAGGCAGGATTTTTAAGTGGTGAATTTCAACGTTTTGAAACAAGCATTAATGTGAATTTGGCCAAGATTTAATGTTTGTTTAGCACATCCTTTCTGTCTATCGTGGGTGTTTGAGGAATACTTTTAATTAAAAGAGGAATCATTTCATATCTGCCACCATCATAACGTCGTTTCTTACATTCTTTGTGTGGCATGACAAAACTTTGCCCAATTTTTTATTTGTGCCAAGTTTTTAATTTTGGTTTATGTATTTCGGTAGCGGTATTTTTAGGTATTGAAATTATCTAGATTATGGGCACAAGAATACACATTTACAGAGTTGATAATCAGTCTTTTTGTTCCAAAGTGCAAAGATGAAGGTATGGTAGCTATTTAGGAGCCATTTGAGCATAGTAACATTCTTACATGATCTTGACTACATCGTGGTGGGTGGATTTGTTTGTTGTTTTGTTCCATGTTGGGGATTATGGACCCAGCGCCCTGTATTTGCTAAGCACGTGCATTACCTACATCTCCAGCCTATTATGAATTCTTAACAGGAAATGTTTAAAGACTTAGGACAGAATAGTAAGAAAATACCAGCAGTGAGGAATGTTAATTAAATTATAAATTGACCACCATACTACATAATAAGGTGTTTTAAAATGTGCCAATCCTAAATCAGAAAGTTACAGATTCAAATTCCAGGTCTGCTGCTTTCTTAGAAGACCTTTAACAGTGAACATTGATTGCCTCTCACATCTCCATTTTCACATCAGTTGAGGAATAATCTAATAGCCACTTAATCAGATTGAGGATTGATTACATAAAGTTGGGCAAGTGAAGTGCCTAGTGCTCAGTCCAGTAATTGATAGCCATTTATTACAATGCAGAGTTACCGTAATAATAGTTTTCAGAAAGGATGAGGTAAATATGTGAAAGTGATATATAAGCCCTGTTCAAATATTACTGTTTAGCAGCATAGTGTACAGGTTTCCCTAGTTGGTCTTGCAGCCTTTAGACTTGTTGTCCCACACTGTAGAATAGGAATATTGGTATCTTAAAGGATTTTTTGGATTCTCTAAGTTAATAATATCGGGCACTTAGAACACAATTTAGCATATAATGTATGTGCAGTGGAATCTATTTTAGAATAGTAATTATTACTATCATTCAATATCTATCACAAATGTTGGATTTTTAAATTGGAAAAAAAAGATGAGAGATTATCTAGCATCTCGGAAGGAACTGGTCAGTGGTGCCTGGTCCACATATAAGTGGTTTTCTTAAAGGAAAAGCAAAACTATCTGAAGACAGAGCTCAGTACCATTAATTGTTTCCTTCTTGGTTGAAACTGCAGACTTTTAATCATATATACTGCAACCACCTGCTTCCCAATTTTTGTTCTTAATAAATTTGCTGTTTATAAAAATGGCATTACTTTTTTGAAACTTCTCCTTGCAGATTAAAATTTAAAATCAGCCTGTTGCAAACCTCTGTTCAGTGTATTCATCTTATTCAAGTTTACTGCATAAGATTTCTTTGTTCAGCTGAAGTTTTTCATTGTGTTTTAAGAGAATGTAAGGGAGTTGAGTAAGTGACTTAGTTTTCATTCATTCATTTGACAACATTTATCAGATGCCTAGTTCTGTGTCAGGCACTCTTAAGGTGCTTTAAATAAAATATGATAGTGCTCGTACTTTCTAGTGCCAGCTACACAATAAAAATACAGATTAGGCCCAACGTTAAGGCTCAGTATGGGGGAGGCATTTTAAAATAGAGGTAACTCAAGCAAAAGAGTTGAGGTGTTGCTATCAAGCCTGACTTGGAGTTACTGCTCAAGGAGTTTGGAGAAAATAAAGCATGCATACAAGTAGGTGGGATGTGGTAGATGCTAGAGAAAGGTTTCTTGAAAATTGAAGGTTGTTGGAATTCCTGGATGTTTTCTTTTTTGCTTTTTTTTGGTACTGGGGCTTGAACTCGGGTCCTTGGGCTTGCAGGGCAGGCGGTCGAACCACTGAGCTAAATCCCCAGCCCTCCTGGATGTTTTCTTGATAGTAAAAGTTGAACTTTCTTACTCTAAAAGTAATTTTAACCTAATTTTTTTTTAATTGAAGTATTTTCATTATATAATGTAATTTTTCTCCACAGCCTATCTGTACTTTTGGGGGGAAAAGTGGGGTTATTCACATAAGATTAGGTCTATTTAAGCCCCTTTTTTTCCTAAAAAATTCAGGGCTTTAAATATAGAAATCTGAGATTCTAGGCAACTATTTTGTCATCAAAGTGTGGGTTACTTCCGGATTTGAGCCTCAGCTGGATGTGATGGCACATGGTTGTAATCCCAGTGCTCTGGGAGACTGAGGCTGGAGGGTTACAGAATCAAGCTCAGCCTGAGGAGTTTGCCAAGATGCTTACTAAAACTTAGGCCTGGGATTTAGCTCAGTGGTTCCGGTGCCTACCTAGCTTACTAAAACTTAAAATGGGCTGGCAACGTAGTTCAGGGCAAAAGCCCTAAATTCAATCCCTAATACTAGGGGAAAAGAAGATTTGAGCCTAACGTAGCTAGCTTGGTACAGAATGTATGTATGGCAGAACTTTCTGAAAGTACCACATACAACTTTTCACAGCCATCTCTTTATTAAAAGACTTGTTATGAATTGACTTTATTATTCTTTTTGTTTGTTTTGTATCGGGATCGAACTCAGGACCTTGTGCTTGCAAGGCAGGCAGTGGTCCTCGGCTGACTTTATTATTCTTATTAGCCTTTTTGGAAACCCAGAATTAATTGGAAAGTAATCAGTTGCCACAACTTTATATAATTATGGCCATTTGCCATAAGCATATCTGGGGTACAGTATTGACTCTTCCCTTAAATAGTAATTCAGAGCTAAATGAACTTTGGTTGATGTTTTGGGCCATTATTTAAAGTAGTTTCTTAGCACCATAGTTCTTTCTAGGATTTATTAAAGCTATTCACCACAATCTTAAAAGGTACACATACTTTGATTGCCTTCACCTGTTTAACTTTGGAAATTTATATAGTTTTTTGTTTTTGTTTTGCAGTGCTGGGGATCAAACCTAGGGCCTACCACAGGCTAGCTAGCAAGCACTCCACAACCAAGCTATGTCCTTGGGGCTTTATTATTTTATTTTGCGACAGAGTCTTGCTAAATTGCCCAGACTGGCTTTGACTTTCTGGACCTCCTGTCTTAATCTCCCAAGTAGCTCAGACTACAGGAATGTGCCACCACACCTGGCAAAATTTATATAGTTTTCTTTGGAAAATACTGCTGTTGTTCAGATTATTTCAAAAACTTGTTTTGATATTGACCTCAAAGTTTGTTCCATGTTCTTTCAACTGTTGTAGCGAAATGATCATAATAACGAAAGCTGTGTCAGAGGTGATACCTGCCGTAACTATGAATCTGTCAAACTTCCTTCAGAGGTTATAAACTGGCTCCTAAAATGTCTAAGTTACAAGGAAAGTAATGATTCAGCCTTCTTAAATTCTGATATGCTGTTTAATTTAAGGTAAATAATTTTGTATATAACAAAGTATAAAAGCCTTTACGGTAAAGTAAGTCTTGAATTTTCCTGGATCCATTTAAATTTTAAGGATCATCAAAAGAGGTCAGTAGTAAACTTGAGATGAGAATGTTTAGAGCCATCCTAGCTTCACTTTGCAACTTTCATGTTGTTCTGTCTCCTTTGCCATCAGGAGTTAAATGAAGTGTTAAAAACAAAAGTAAATAAATAAGCATAAGATTTTTGATTCCTTACTACTTTAGGTAGGTAATTCGAAACTATTTCAACAGTAATTTCTATAACCTTTAAGCTACCTTTTCATTAGGTTTGTACAGCCTAGTTACAAATGCCTCCAGATAATGAGATACTTCTAATTTAATCAGATTACTATGGACTAGTGTAACTATAAATCAACTTGTAGGCAGAGTTGTGTGGTTATTTTATATAGTGTTATTTATCTAGTACTGTATATGAATGCTTAAATTTATGTGGAGGTGATAATTGGATTTTGTTTACAGAAAGCAACAAAGAAAACTGATAAACCAAGAATAGAGGATAAAGATGACCTAGATGTAACAGAGCTCTCTAATGAAGACCTTCTGGATCAGCTTGTGAGATACGGAGTGAACCCTGGTCCTATTGTGGGTATGTTGACAAAATTTCAAATATCTTGTGTGTGAAGCATGGCCCCAGGTTATTTTGCCTCTTGCCTAGTGGTTGCAATTTAGATTCTAAGGGCCAGTCTGCTAATAACTATTTATATGACCTAGACTCTAGTTTTCTTGACTCTAAATGATGGAAATAAAATGACAGAATTGAATTAGATTTTTTTTTTTAATTACCTGTTGTTGAGATTGTTTTATATGTTGCTCATATCACATACTACCTGATAAGGCCATATGGGTCTTTTATGGCAGTTGAGGAAAATCTAAGTTAACATAACTGGCCAGTTCATCCAAATTACAGTCATACCGTAGTAGCCTCTTCCAGTTATCATTAAGGTATCTTACGGTAAGTTATGTCTTGACTGGGTTTTAAGAATGATAGTCTAGGCTGGGCATGGTGATGCACCCTATAATCCCAGCACTTAAGAGACTGAAGCAAGATTGCCATGAATTCAAGGCCAGTCTGGGCTACCTAGTGAGTTGAAGAGTAGCCTGAACTACATACCAAGACCCGGTCTCAAAAAACAAACAAACAAAAAAAAGATGAGGGGTAAAAAAGTTTAAAGGAGAAAACGGGGGAGTGACAAAACCCCCAGAGAAGTCATTATTAAAAAATTATAATTAAAAAAAGAATAATACACTAAATAAACAAAAAGAGAACTTAGACCCAAATACACTAGATTTCCATCATTGAGTTATTTGTAAGTGACAGTGAATTGCATGGTTGATACTATCTTAGTGTTTGAGGGTTTTGTCAGTAACTTCAAGATGAGAAAAATTTATTTTAATTCTCCAAAGTTGTAAAATTTTGAACACTGATGATTTGGCAGTTTGGGGCTATTGTGACATAAGGATTTAGATTGATAGATAAATCAAGAATATAATTACCAATAGATATTTGATACCTTCATTAAATTTTGTATTTAAAATTCTAAAAGAGACACTGAAAAATGTTTACTAATGTTAATATACACTACATTATGTGTTGGGATATGAACTGTTCATCTTAAGACTACTTACGTAACATTTCTGGGAATGTGTTTATAAAAGACATCCATTCTCATTTTACTTCCGTTGGCAGAAATTAAGATACACAGCTAGTGTAAAACAAAATAAAATCTACTTAAATATGGCTTATGGAACTTTTCCTCATAACTGGCTACTTGTAGGCATATTAGTCCCTTAGTATTGTGGAGTGTGATCATAGTTATTCTCTAGAGTGCAACCTGTTTATAAAAAAGATTTTTCTGCATTAACAAGTATTTTTATGTAGTTATTGGAAAAATATACAAAGTTCAAGACCTGCAGAAAAAATAGTCCCATATAGTTCTTAAATAGGTAATCTCCTGTTAATACCTACTGTGTATTCTATGTTATTAAAAGAAACACCGTGGGGTTGAGGGTATGACTTAGTGGTAGAGCACCTGCCTAGCATAAGCCAGGTCCTGGCTTTGACCCCAGTACGCAATAAATAAGCAAAGAACCTAAATAAAAGAAATATTGTAATCTTGTACTAAAGGCTTAGGAAAATACCTGTTTTAGAAAAGGTACATTATATATTATTTTTAACCACTTCAGTTTAGAAAAAGGAAAAGGTGAAAGTAAACAGGATGCTTGTGTGTGCACGTGTGTGTTACCAGAAATTGAAGCTAGGGCCTCAGCACTGAGCTGTGTCTTCAACTCTTATTTTTTGAGACAGCATCTTGCTAAATTACCTAGGCTGGCCTCAAGGTTGGGATTGTCCTGCCTCAGCCTCCCAAACTACTAGGATTACTACTAGGCACGCACCACCACACCTGGCTGCGATGCCACTTTTTGGATTGAACTCGGGACCTTGCGCTTGGGAGCCAGGCGCCAGAACCCCTGAGCTAAATCCCCGGCCTGCTGCTTCTTAACTGATAGTTTCTGACCTGGATCTTAATTAAGACAATGCAACCACTAAAGTAAGTTTTCCCTTAATACAGGAACAACCAGGAAGCTTTATGAGAAAAAGCTGTTGAAACTGAGGGAACAAGGAACAGAATCAAGATCTTCTACTCCTTTACCAACAATTTCTTCTTCAGAAAATACAAGGCAGAATGGAAGTAATGACTCTGACAGATACAGTGACAACGAAGAAGGTAAAATTTAAAATGATTTTACTCAAATATGTGTAATTTTTTTCACATTCATAGATTCAGTGACCATGAAGAGGGCAAAATTGAAAACAGTGTTGTCAGAATACATGTTATTTTCGTTTATATCATTTGAGCAATATTCCAAGTTTGCTTTTTTATTTACTCATTTAATACAGAGTATTATTTTGTACTCCAAAAAAACTATATAAATACTATGCTAATATTTGTTTTTAGTCCATGTTATTTTTTTAGACCTAATACTGTTACATGTGTATCTCTTTATTCTTTGTAATTAATATAAAGTAATTGAATATGCCATATTTTCTCTTTTGGTAGGCATTTAAATTGTTTATAGTTCTTGCAAGATAATCTTAATTTCACAGCAACTTTAAAGAAAATATTTTGACCATAATTTTATATACTATTTTTTAAAAATTAGACTATGATATTTATTTTTGGGACTAATACATGAAATAACTGTCCTTAAAATTACTATAAATGTAATTTGTTACGCATTTGTTATTCATATATGACTTGTTAATTTTGTGATTAATTTGATCTAAATTGGTTATACTTCCATTAGCAGTTTCCAAATTTGTGCTTACTTTGGCAGCACATATACTAAAATTTCCAAATTGATTGTTCAGAATATGAAATATAGTCTTTTTCTTCAACAGCACTATTTTAGCAAGGAGGCAAAGAATAAAATTAGCTTAAACACAGGTAATACTTAAACTTCCTGCCTCTTTTGCCTCTACAGGAAAGAAGAAAGAACACAAGAAAGTGAAGTCCACTAGGGATTTTGTTGCTTTCTCTGAACTTCCAACTACTCCCTCTGGTGGATTTTTTCAGGGTATTTCTTTTCCTGAAATCTCCACCCGTCCTCCTTTGGGCAGGACTGAACTACAGGCAGCTAAGAAAGTACATACTTCTAAGGGAGACCCACCTAGGGAGCCTCTTATGACCACAAGCTTGCCTGGCAAGGGACAGATGCAGAAGTTAGCCTCTAGAGGGAATTTGTTTACTTCCTCCAAGTCTAGCCACGATAGTTGTTTAGAGAGAAGTTCTTCTTCATCTTCTCAGCATGAACTCACTGCCATGGGCTCTACCGCAGCTTCTCCTTCAGTGATTAAAGAAACCACTACCACTTACTCTAAAGACATAGTAGAAAACATTTACCATAGAGAAAAAAGTGGAATTCAGCCATTACCTACTAAAAGGGCCAATATTTCAGATCAGTCAGTTCTGTCCAGCGAAAGTGAAGTGCTAGAGGAGTGTAGGAGATCACAGGTACTTTCTCCACCACTTGCTCAGGCGATCAGAGAGTATGTCAGTTCTCTGTTAGTCCAGGGTGGGGTAAGTAGTTTACCTGGGACTTCTAACTCTATAACCACACTGGATATAGAAAAAATACTTAAGAGAATTGATCCATCTAAATTTCAAGAAACCAAATCCCTGTCTTCTCCACGAAAAGTCCCTAGACTCAGTGAGAAGGCAGTAGAGGAAAAGGGTTCCAGCTCCTTGGTGGCATTTCAGAGTATACCTGGATCTGCACAGATGTCTGCTTCTGCCAAAACTGTTATCTCTGAGTCGCTTACTACCTTAGGCATAGAAATGTCTACGCAGTCACAGCATGATAAAATAGATGCCTCAGAGCTATCTTTTCCTTTCCATGAATCTATTTTAAAAGTAATTGAAGAGGAGTGGCAGCAGATTGACAGACAGCTACCTTCATTGGCATGCAAGTATCCAGTTTCTTCCAGAGAGGCAACACGAATATTATCAGTTCCAAAAGTAGATGATGAAATCCTGGGGTTTATTTCTGAAGCCACCCCGCCAGCAGGTGTTCAGCCAGCCTCCACTGAATCTTGCAATAAACATTTGGACATAGCGCTCTGTAGAACATACGAAGCTGCAGCATCAGCATTGCAGATTGCAACCCACTCCGCCTTTGTAGCTAAGGCTACGCAGGCAGACATCAGCCAGGCTGCACAGATTCTTAGTTCAGATCCTGATCGCATACCCCAGGCACTCGAGATTCTGAGCAAAGCGTATGATGCGGCTTCGTTTCTTTGTGAAGCTGCATTTGATGAAGTGAAGATGGCTTCCCGTACCATGGCCTCTTCCACTGTTGGCCGCCGGCATCTCTGGTTGAAGGATTGCAAACTTAGTCCAGCTTCTAAGAATAAGCTGACTGTTGCTCCCTTCAAAGGTGGCACATTATTTGGAGAAGTCCACAAAATAATTAAAAAGCGTGGAAATAAACACTAATAAAGATAAGAACAAAGACATCAGTCTTGTTTTTGATATGGAAAACTTAGGAGCTTTTGTAGGAGTGTCAGGTACTTTTAAGGTCAGATTGCACTAATTTCAAAATGGTAAGCTTCTACTCATTAAATTGTAGCATAAAAGTAATTCCCTATGTAGAAGTGCTCTTTTTTCTTTTTTCGATAGGTTGGTACAAACATAATCTTTATAGATCACATACTTGTCTCACAAATAGTTTACTGTTTTCTCTTTTAACAATGTTTTTACAACTCTTCAAAACTAAGAATATTCCAATAATTAAAATATAAGTAGAGTCCTTACTGTTTTTAATAGTATCATACATATGTTCCTTTGTACTTAGGATAGAAATAAACACTTATATATTCAAAATAATGATTTTTTTCTTTTTGCTACTCATGTCTAACTTCACTTTTTAGAACTTGTCCACACTTTACTCTTACATTCTTATTTTTGTTTGTTGCTTGTGTCTGATATTATGATGTCAGACGAAACGACTAGCCCACAGACAATGATGCACAAGAATTGAAATCTGAAGGGCTAGGGGTGTAGCTTAGTGGTTAACAGCATGTGTTTACCATGTGAGAGGCCCCAGGTCCAGTCCCACCCCCTCCCTATTTTTAATGAAGGAATTTAAATCTAGAGGCACTTTTTAGGCCAATGCCAGGATTTATTTTTCTAGTGAACTTCTACTGGTAGCGAAAGCAGTGTATGGGTTTCCATTTTGATGCAGGTGCCTCTTCTCTTCAGGGACAGGTAGTTTACAGTTCACAGACCATACCAATCCATGGACCACACTTTGAGGAACACTGCTCTGCATGACAGATTCTCTGTGCATACTCACTCACTATTCTGTCGTTAGGTGAACTAGACACTGAAAAGGTGGGGCCTCTTTCTTCCTCTTTCTTTTTCTTTCAAGGTATGTTATATTTCATGAGTATTTAGACTAACAATCTGGATGCTAAGAGCAAATTGCAATTATTTTTGTTTTAAAGCCTTAAATCATACCATATCCAAGTGTCTGTTTGTAAAAAGCAATGTATTAATCCTGTTTTCATTTCTATGATTGTAAGGTAAGAAAGTCTGTAGAGGCATTGTGGAAAATAGTCTTAAGCATGACAAAATATAGTCTCTTGGATACTTCTCTAGCCATTATCATAGGCTACACCTTCCAGCTTTGCAGCTTTCTGGAAGTAATTTTATTTGTTATTTGTCTTCTGCAATGTACATGTGTACATGTACCTACTAAGTGCTATGTGATTTTTTAAAATGTATTCTGTAGAATGCTCCTACAAATTCAATAAAGTTGTTAAATTTGAACAGTTTTGTGTGGTCTCCAGAAACATGTTGTATGTGTGCTTTATTCTTGGAGTTGCAACAAGTTGGCTATGTGTAGGTGAACATTCCTTTTCCATTTCATCATTGAAACTCACTTGACATTCCAGGGGTATAATTGAAAATATTCTAGTTACTTTTGAATACTTTTTCTTCTATTTGAGGACTGTGTTTTTATTGGCTGTTGGAAGCTAACTTTGTAAAAGGAATTAATTTCAACCAAATTTGTCTAATCAATTTCTCCTTGGCTACTACATTTTTTTACTTCATACTTTCTCAGATTCTGAATTGAAGCATAAAAGTAGATTTTCATAATGCTAAGGGTGGTCCCAAACAGATACATTGATAGGAGTGTTGGGGGATGGGGGTTTGGGGGTGATAGCTTAGTACTAAATAAAGATTGAACTGTTTGAGCAACTGTTTGAACCAACTTAGTAAAAATCACGTTAGGGGACAGATTCTTCGCTGACTAGTATCAGACTGAAAAGTTCAGAAGATGCATGGCTGTTTAGATAACTTTTTTAGCACATTTACCTTGAGATCATGCAAAGCTGAAGCTTTGTTTAGGATTTGACTCCATTCTTTTCTTTCTTTTCTTTTCTTTTTTTTTTGGTACTGGGGATTGAACTCAGGACTTTGTGCTTGTGAGGCAGGCGGCAGCACCACTGAGCTCAATACCCGGCCCTCTTTTTTTTTTGGTGAAAAAGTAATCTAACTTAAATTTTTGGTAGTAGAAGGTTTAGAAATAATTATTGTCTTACTAGTTTTGCTACACTATGATAAATGGCCACCACAGCAAGGATGTTAAAAATCTTATCAATGTTTTACACTTGATCTTAGCCAAAAGGCCGAGAAGCAGTTCTTAACAGTGTTTTTAAAAATCTAGATCTTCAAATGGTAACAAGGGTGGAAACATGAAATATTGACGTGGATAAAAAATACGTATCTTTCTGTTGTTGGCTTAATGTGACTATCATGATGGTAAGCTAGTAATGCAATAAAGTACTGGCTTATCTTCACAGAAATGTTATTTTATTTATGAGGAAGAAGAGAAGAGACCTGTAATTGTACTTTTTTGTGAACAACATTTTTTCTTGCCTTAATTGTACTATATCTGGGCTTTATATAACTACATCAAAGAAGAGACTATTTCTATTTTGGTGCTGAAGATTGAACCACAGGGCCTCAGCTATGTTAAGCATATGCTCTACCAGGGACTTTTCTACTGCATTCACTTATTAACATTGTCAGTTTTTTGTTAGTAGAGATTTGATACCAGACAGGCATTTTCTTTCCTAAAATTCTCTAGATATTTTCCTTCCACATACCAAATTTTAATAAGCTAACCTTTATATAGTACTGATGCACTACATGGACAAAACAGTGGTAACTGTCTTAATATCCTTCTCCCACATTGAAATCATCTAGTGAAAAGCTGCCTCAAGAGCACTGAATTCACTTTTATGTTAAAAGCTATTAGTCTGAGAAAAAGGAAAGAGTAGGAAGAAGTGGCAATCAGATTAAAAGAGCATGGGACATGAATGAAATAAATGTTTAAGGCAAGTTGTTAAACAATTTTGATCTATTGAGGTTCTTATCAAGAGACATTTTTTGTATTAATGTGCCTAAAACCAGGGTTCCAAAGTAATAAATGGAAAATACAGCTTCTATGTTCCAGAGAGTAATGATTTCTCCAATGTTATTTCCAGACTCTAAAATAGAGCTCAAGCTTGAGAAGAGAGAACCACTAAAGGGCAGAGCAAAGACTCCAGTAACACTCAAGCAAAGAAGAATTGAGCACAATCAGGTATCTAGTTTCATGGTCACTGTGTACAGGTGTAAGTGATCTCTCAACACTCATCCGTCTTGTCCTTGTACCTTTTAATAGGTGACATCTAGATTTCAGCACACTCAAACAACTTCATTGTTACATGGCACAAGAAATCTCAGCTTTATGGGTTTGTGTCAGTAGTGTAGCCTATATTTACAGCAAAAGCAAATGCTTGGTAAACAACTCACTTGGATTTTATTCCATACTGAACGAGATTCAAAGCTAGTCCTACTTGCTCTTGTTTGGTTGGTTTGTATTGGTAAGGATGGAACCCAGGGCCTGTGTATGCTAGGCAAGTGCTCTACCATCATGCTGCTTTTTGAGAGAAATATTTTAAAAGGTAGAATTGTCTAAGCCCTTTTTTTTTTTTTCCGGTACTGGGGATAGAACTTGGGTCTTTCTGCTTGTGAGGCAGGAAGCGGAACCACTGAGCTAAATCCCAGGCCCATGTCTAAGCACTTTTGAAACAACGTTTTTTAAAAGACAAGGGAATAGTTATATATTTGTTTCTTTGTCTACAAATTTTTGACTGCTTTTGCCTTCCTTGTCTTTTGTGGCCTTTCCCTAAACTCTGAAGCTAGTCTGGTTCTAAGACTACATTGTTTTGTTTTCTTTACTCTAAATGAAAGTTTGTTTGCTTGTGTGTGTGTGTGTGTGTGTGTGTAAGAGGCAAGATGAAGTTTTTAAAAAGGAAGATACAAGAGACTAAGGACATGTATAAAATGAACTAGTTGACCGAAAACCAACTATTGCCTCTAATTTAGCATTGGTTTGACTGACAGAACAAGACAGCTAACCCTAGAGGTTTTTCCTTACCCTAGTTACATATCTTTTCCATGTTCTGTTTGGCACTTTAAAATTCTGTATCCTCAGAAGAAATGTTCTTGATTTCTTGAGCAGTATCCTTCTTTTCATTCGATACAGCAAAGAAGTTGAATTTTACAACTATTTGTAACAAATGAGCTTGGGGGAGCCAGGTGCAGTGGTGCACACCTGTGATCCCAGCTGTTCAGGAGTCTGAGGCAGGAGGATTGCAAGTTTGTGGTCACCCTGGGCAAGTTGGTGAGGTTCTGTCTCAAAATTTAAAAAGCTAGGGAGGCAGCTAGGTGGTGGAACACTTGCCTAGCATGTTCCAGGCCCTGGGTCCAATTCCCAATACCACAGAAAAGAAAAGAAAAAAAAATCTGGTGACTGGAGAATGTATAGAATATGAATGAAGATTTTGTTTAACATACTAGAACCAAATTCCAGAATAAAAATTTTAACCATTTACTATTGCTAGCGAAGAACTGTTGAAGCATGCTGAAGTATAAGGAAATAAACAGCAAAAGAAACTAGGGAGAGCTTATAAGGACATTAAAATGGACAAACATGGAGATTTTGTTCCGAAATATGAAGGCAAGATAGTAGAAGTGTGTGACTGATCAGATATTAGGCTAAGGGGGGTGGTGGTACTGAAGAGGGTTTAATGGGTAATTGTTTGAGTTGGGGAATCAAAATTGAGGGGTGGGATAAGAAGCAAAGGAGAATCCAGGTTCAGGACATGACAGGCATGAGACATTAGAACAGAAGACCGGAGATAGAGACGGGTTTAGAGAAGACTTACAGGTGCCGAGCACTTGCCAATGTTTTACGTTCAGTGTCATCTCCACTCACACCTTCCAGCTTGACTTTTCCATGTCTAATCCATGTTCAAGTTTCTCCAGTCATAGAAACATCTCATTTATGGTTCGATTATATTGCTCAAATTAGGGTCTAAACAAGATTGTATATTTATTTTTGATTATTATTATTATTTATCTCTTAAATGTGTAGCTATGCATTTTTTTTTCCTTCCGTTTATTTTACTCTTCTATGTATTCCTTGGATATCCTCAGACTGAGAGTTAAACCAATAGCAAGGCAGTTCGATAGTCCTTTCTGTGCTGTCCCTTACAGTAGTCTCTGGCTATTATACTTGGAATGTATCTAGAGTTTTTAAGTTTTTAATTTAAGTGACTACATATGGCTAGTGCCTATCATATTGTACAGCACAGATCTAGGGAGTTGGTTAGATTCAAGTTCAGTTTCTTTGGCAAGAATAGCTCAGATTATCTTGTGGCCTTCCCATCCGTCATTTCAGTAGGTCCATGGATGTCCTTTTTTCTTTTGGTACTGGAGATCAAACTCAGGACCTTGCACTTTTGAGGCAGGCATGGTGCCACTGAGCTAAATCCCCAGACCATGGATGTCCTTTAGATAATGCTAAAATTTGTTCATAGGTTCAGTTGTTGAAAGATTGATCCATCTGATGCAAAGTTTACACCCCTTTATGTAGTAGTTTTAACAGCTGTTGATTATTGCCTAAATCCAGTACTTTATATATTTATGATCAGCTACTGTCATTATAATTATGTTTGTTTTTGTGGTGTGGGGATTGAAGTGAGGGCCTTGTGCATGCTAGACAAATGCTGTATCACTGAGCAGTACCCCCAGACAAAAAGTGACCCCCAGTTTTGGGGGAGGGAGGGCGGTGGAAGGAATTACTCCTTTCCAAGTTCACAGTGTGCCGCCTGTAGCCGGTGTGAATTACAAAGTATCTGTGTACTTTGTCTGATATCCTTATATCCTCTGTCCTATTGTCCCCCATTTGTCTTTAGTGATTTCTTGCTGAGTATTCATTTCTGCAGGGTTATCATTGCTACTATTACTTCCTATTAAAGAGAAAAATAAATTATGAATACGTAGTGATACTTTAAATTTACCAGTATAGACTAATTTTAGGGTGTTATACATATCTCTTATGCCAAGTGTCTTCTTCAAGTGATATTGTTCATGTAAGTATCACTTATAAAATACGACAGCATTACTATTAACCATAAAACTGCAAAGTACAGATGGAGGGTTTGGGGGGGGTTTGGTGGTGGTAGGGTTGAGTCCACCTGAGCTGTGACCCCACCCTCAGCCCCTAGAGTTCTGGGATTACACTGTATGCCACCAAAGCTGACTGGTGCCCACCTCCTTCAGGTCTTAAAGTCAAAATACTGTGCGTAAAGACACTTGAAAGAATCTTTTTCTTCATGTCCTAAGGGCATAACTTAATGTACTATTAGGTTTTATTTTTTGTTGTTTTGTAATAGAATTACACTTTCTCTCATTTTTAAATAATTATGGAGAATAT